CCCCCCCCCTTAAAAAAAAAGAAATTTAGATAGTTTTCAAATGCTTTATCCAGAAAGATGTTGTCCTCTTCTCTAAATTTATTTTATGTTCCGCGCTCTTCATAGCATTCATCTTTTATTGGTTTAGATCTATATTGCTGCACTGCTGTTGCATGATTACTGTAGATGCCCTTCCTTCCTGGCTGCTGGCAAAAATAGCTACTACTATTAGTTTTAATTATAGTTAATCAATCAGATCATCAACTGTTCACGGGCCTCCAAAAAAATCATCTGATCTCTTTTTGTATGTAGTATTTAGTGACAGGGTTGAAATCATTTTTAAAAATTTAATCTGTGGGAGATTCTGCTGAGATATATAAAATATTTGCAGTCTTATCAAATTTAAGGTCAGAAAACTAATTGCGGCAAAGTCATCTTTCCCTTTGTTGCATCGTATGGTCCAGCTTTTCGCTTATTTGTCCAAAAAAGTTGCCACTGTCCGTTTCATCTCAAGAACTAATAATTGGCCTTTTGCACCTTTGGACAATAAAAGCTGGTCTGAAAAGTATGTCAGCACATATCCAGCAAAATATTTATGGTGCTGCATGTTTTGATGTACTAAAATCTCCTTGACTTGTGTATTAATTATTGAATACCAATGATAGATAAAAATAGATTAGTGTACAATCTTTGAATGAATAGTTTTAGAAAATAATGGAGTTTGCATATTAAGAGTATTTCCGTTCTACGTATCCATCAGGAGAGGCTTAATAAGAAGACTACTTGTTAACTTCATTGAGTAGTTAAAAGCTTCATCATCGACATCTCATACTGTCAGAAAAAAATATTTGCCTAATTTTGGTCAGCTAGTGCATGTAGCTGACGAAGCTGTAGCATATTTGGCACATTGGGATGGCATCATACTGCTTAATTTATGGCGTGTATCACCCTTTGTTGAAGGACACCTACTAAAAAAACATGATTTGTGTGATGTCTACTTTTCAACTTTACGTTCTTATAGCATGGTTTAACTGGTGGTCTTGCTTGTGAATGTATATGTCGACTTCTGCGAACAATGTGAGCTAATTTGAAATTCTGAAGAAGAAAATTAAGTAGAATTAGGAGTGCTACAACGGGTTGTTTGGTTTGATAAGGAATAACTTGCCTGGACTGAATAAGAAATTAATCTATAGAGGTCACTCTTCTTTGTAAACTGTTTAACATATCTGTGTCTCTTATCATCATTGCCAACAATCATGATGTGATTGAAAATAATGTAAACATGACACATAAGTCTTTAGTTGTAGTAGCTAACGCCTTACTGCATATACTATATGCTGATTAAGTTAAGTCGAACCCATTGAAGCCAGATGAGGGTTTGGGGACTCTTTGGTGATTATTTTGTTTCCTTTGCTTTTTTTGTGGAGGTTTTTTTTTTGGTGGGGCTGGGGGCTGGGGGCTAGGATTGCAGAGATTCATGAGTGACTCTGAAGACCATCCTGTGCTGCATAAGAGGAGTAGAAATCATGCAAGGAAACATTCTTCTTCATCTTTATTCTTCTCGACGATTAGCAATTAAGGGATTGGGAACTCTTTCATGATTATCTTTTTTCTTTTCTTTTTTTAATCAGGATTCTTGGGTGCGTTTAGGGGTGGCAAATGGGCGGTTTGGGTAGATTTTGGGTGGGTCAAAATGGGCTGAATTGATAAATTGGTCATTGCCCAACCCTACCCAAAGTTCACTTGGGCTTAGATGGGCTTGGGTTGAGATGAGCTGGGTCAAGATGGGCTAAATAATGGGTCATAACCCAACCCGCCCAACTAGTCCTTTGGCAACATCTAACATTCATTAACAAATAAATTTTTATTGTAACTTCTTTTAATAAGCAAAATAGTTGTTTTGATTTTTTCTTCATGGATACATTGATTAACAAGACTCGTTATCAGCTTTATCGATTTTATTTTATTGTTGTAACTTTCGCATTTATTTAATCTTGATTTAAAGTTATCAGTTAGCAGAAAACTAATATCCCACTATTTCTTCTCCACATTTTTATACTATGATTCTTGTCTTTTTAGTTTTTAAATTATTTTCTTTGTTGAATTGATCAATTATCCAACACAAAAAATTAGTAATCCTTTCCAGAAAAGAATTTTATTCGCAAAACCAATTGTCCCAAAAAAGGACAAAAAATTAAATCGGAAATTTTTAAAAAAGAAGAAGATGATGAAATGCAAAAAAAAAAAAAAAGAAAAGGAAGAAGATACAATTGCAAAACCCAGCTGTCCATATCCAGAAGCAAAAAAATGTAGGAGTATAAAAAAAGCAAAAACAATACCTGACAACTATTACTTTCAAAGTAGTGCTTGAAAAATTGCACATATTCCTATAAAAGCTACAGCTATGTCATACATGGATAAGTATAGTTTGACACGGGTTAGATTTGGGCCATTTTACGGGTTGTGTTGTGCTAAGTTCTTTTATGGGTTAAAATGGGTGCAGCCCAAAATAGCCCATCAGGAAATCTGTCATGCCCGACCCATTAAGTACTGGGTGGATTGAATGAGCTTGAGCCAGTTTTGCCAGACCTAGTGTGTTGCACCCAAAGATGTGTCCTACTAGTTAGTGAAGTGTGTGCAAATGTTGGAGATTCAAGTCACAGCAGAGATTTAAAAACACTAGATAATTGCTTCCCATCTGCTTAGGCCTTGGTAAGCAAAGTCACTCGGTACTTGTGCTATCCTTGACACCATCATTATCCACAGAAAAAAAATAAGCAAAAGGATTTTTGGGGGTGGGTTTTGCTGTTTTGGGGTGAGGTACAGTTACCTGTGCTGTCCAGTAGGAGTGGAAACAACCCAATGTAACATCCTTCTTCATCTTTATTCTTCTTCATAATTTTAGCCAGCTGTGATTTTTGTGATTTTAATGCTGGTAGTATCTGTGATTTTAATGCTGGTAGTATGATCTCCCATTCTCCCTGATGCATTTCACTTGGTACAACCTTTGAACGAAAGGTACTGATGTTGCTTGCCTGCAGGGGTTTTTACCGAACTCATACAACAGATGCAAGTAAAAGGTGTGCAGGTATTTTTCGGTTTACTCTAAAAAATTTTACTCTCTTTTCACTTATGATTTTTTTCTTTATTTATAGGTGTTTTAATCTCTCTTTTAGCTTGGAACATTTCAAGTGTGGCTATGCAATGAGAACATGCTTTTTGGAGATTTCCTTTCTTTTCTTTTTTCCTATAAAGTTGATGATCATAATCACTTTTGCAGATATTTTTTTATGTACATGCGATTATGGACTTGAAATCTATATTTACTCGTTACATACTGAGATGCATGTAATGCGACTCAATGGAGTCTGTTTTTAATGGCGGTGATGTCCGGGCCAGCTTACGTGATCGACTATTACACCGGGTACCTGCTATCTCTGACTAGTACAAGTACCGGGTAACTCTGCCCACGAAGGCATAGGCAGACTCAATGGAATCTTTATCTTTGCTATTATCACATTTTGTTGCGAGGCAAATGGTTGGCTTGTATATCTGTTAAGCTTAGGAATTTCAAGCAATCATTTTCTTTGGTCGGTGGCGAATACCTTTATGCTAGAACTTAAAAGAAGGAAAAAACATATAAGCTAGAAAAGGAAATATATAAAAAGGTAGAGATTGACGTTTTCCCCCTCCATAGTGGTTTTATCATAGCTCTCCACTGTCCTATCCTGTGTTGCTATCACTTTTAGCTTTAAAACTAATCTACAAAAGACACACGTGATGCTTAAAGGAATCTTCATATGCCACTCCACGAGCGAGGAGTGCCACATATGAGGAGCGCTAAAGAAAGCAATTGGAAGTAACTGGCCTAGTTATGGTTTAATCTAAAGTTCCAATGCATTTTATTGATGATACATGTATATAAAGTATAAATAGTTCAGCATGACCATACATTGAATTAAAGTGTGGTCTGTGGTTCCTGGAGGGCGATGGAGCAAAAAAGAACAACTATCCTGATCCGATTGAGTAACCCTTCAGTCATAATCACTTTTTTTTATAAGGTAAATTTTTAATAAGGTACCAAGATGGTACAATAAAATTACCGAAAGACATCCCAAATTACAACATCAACAAACTATTCTCCCCCTCCTAACATCTCCAGGGGATTAGGTGCAGACGTACTGCCTGTCAGGCTTCCTGGCAACAGCAGTTTGCTATTTTAATAAATGATGTTATGTAATTACTGGAAATTAGATAGGATTCGTTCATTTCATGCCATACCAGGTGTGAAACTAAATTCTGCAAATTATGGAAGAATAATGTTGGTACTTAATCATCTCTGCGCAACTTGTGATTCTGTTGTATGTTGAATATGAAGAGAAAAAAACCCAAGAATTAGCCATGATTGGAGGAGCTTTGGCTAAATTGTCCATCATTCCCCATCTTTTTGTGATTCTTTCAACATATTTGTGGTTATCTCAGTTCTATATGAAGGGGGTTTTCTGCTCTTACAGTTGAAGCTGATAAGTATGATTGATGTGCTTTTCTTGAGATAAAGCAAATGAAAAGCTGGGGATTGGGAAGGGTGGGGTGTTAAAATGGTCAGATAGCCACTTCTTTTTGGGTGATTAATTTTTTTCTCTTCTCGTGCTATTTCATGTTGAAACAGGTTGAGGAGTTGTATTCTTTGGATCTTGATGAGCTCAACAGTCTTAGGTAAACTAATTCTGCCATGTTAACATTAATTGTATGATTCTGCAAACAGTTTATTCTCAAAAGCTTTAAGCTTGCGTTTCCCCAATTCTTTCAAAAAGGAAATAATACTTAATGATTTTTCACAGGCCCGTGTATGGCTTGGTATTCCTTTTCAAATGGCGACCGGGTGAAAAAGATGATCGCCTTGTGATCAAGGATCCAAACCCAAACTTATTCTTTGCTAGTCAGGTCAAATGGGTTTACATGATATGTGTGGTTAAACTAACGGAAGTTGCTTAGCACTATGACTTGTAACTCTTTTGATGACGTGAAACAGGTGATAAACAATGCCTGTGCTACCCAAGCAATCCTGTCAATTCTCCTGAACAGTCCAGATGTTGATATAGGCCCAGAACTATCAGCACTAAAAGAATTCACAAAGAATTTCCCAGCAGAGCTTAAAGGCTTAGCTATCAACAACAGTGAAGCAATTCGCACAGCCCATAATAGTTTTGCAAGACCTGAGCCATTTGTGCCTGAAGAACAGAAGGCAGCTGGAAAAGATGATGATGTATACCATTTTATCAGCTATATACCTGTGGATGGTGTGTTGTATGAGCTCGATGGATTGAAGGAGGGACCAATCAGTCTTGGGCCATGCCCTGGTGGGCAAGGTGATATCGAGTGGTTGCGCATGGTGCAGCCGGTTATTCAGGAACGTATTGAGAGGTATTCCCAAAGTGAAATAAGATTCAATCTGATGGCTGTAGTAAAGAACAGGAAAGAGATGTATACCGCTGAGCTGAAGGAGCTTCAGAAGAGGAGAGAGCGTATTCTGCAGCAGCTGGCTGCATCACAGTCGGAGAGAATGGTGGATAGCAGCCAAGTGGAGTCACTCAATAAATCCTTATCAGAAGTAAATTCTGGGATAGAAGCCGTTAGTGATAAAATATTGAGGGAGGAGGAGAAGTTGAAGAAATGGAAAACTGAAAATATCCGTCGGAAGCACAACTACATACCCTTTCTCTTCAACTTTTTGAAAATTCTAGCTGAAAAGAAGCAGTTGAGACCTCTTATAGAGAAGGCGAAACAGAAAACCACGAATCCTAGGTGAATTTGTTCACTTTTCACAGGCTAAACAATGTCGTATTTTGGTGAAGCTTATGTTTAATCTCTGAAATTTCTCTAGTGTTAACTGAATGTGCCTCTTTGAGAGCTGCATGCTCTTCAGGCTAAGTTTGAGCATTAATTTGAACTTGTGATTCATGCTGAACAAAATGCTATCTGGCGTTATATTCCTTAGTTGTAGAAATTCAGTGATTGTTAATTTAATCTTGTTTATGTTTCTCATCTTATCAGTCAGGTATTTCCAAAGTAAGGTAAATGCATTTTGGGAGTGCATCTTCACCTTGTTTTTTCAGTAGCTAGCAAGTATATATATTACTTATTCCAGACTGAGTTGATATAAGCACGAACACAGTTTGAAAAGGCAAAACTAAATGGAGTAGGGTTTGTAATGCTTGTTTTAAAGCAACAAAATCTCAAGAATGTTTGTGTGTTTCTATATCATCTCTTCTCTCGGGGTCTTTCTTTGTATTATCAGTCATAAACAATTTTAGGTTTTACCGACAATAAATTGGATATAATACTAGTCTAGCACAAATGATTGTGTTGAAACACTAACTCTGGACTTGAAATTCTTTCATCACAAACACTTTGAAAGCACAGTATTCGAATCCAGTCTTCATGAACAGATAAATTAAAGATTAAACGTGATAAATTTTAAACTTGTGGAGAAATGTTTGAACTTCTTGTCTTCAAAAGTAAGTATTTATTTCTCTGATGTCCTTTTGACATATTTATAGTTGTGGAGAAGTGACAGTTTTATGTGATTTCACTGGTTCAATTGAATCGTAACTTGAATATGTGATGGAACCGTAATTAATTGGCTGCAACTTGTTGCTTCGAATACTTGAAATTTTTCACTTGTATTTTATTGACTTGCCTTGTATTTGACTTGACACAAATTTTGCTTAGCATATTAGTAAAGTTTAAAACATAGAACGAAGAAACATCCAAATGGAAACTGAGAGAGGAAAATGTGCTCGTATACTGGAGCCTACCAAGATGGCATGATAAAAGAAAGATATTGATTCATGTATTTGGACATAATTAACTAGTCAAGCCTTATTAATTCATGTTGATTTAGGAAAATAACTCTTGAACTTAGGACATAATAAAAAAAAAAATTATATTCAGTACAATTAAAATGTTGGGTTTTGCTTTCACGAGTACTCCTCAAGACGTCAACTAGGTTATTTAAGCAAAGCATCACATCTGTAAAAAGGAATATCCAAGTTTTTCTTGGATAAAAATAAAATTTGTATACTTCGAAAGAGACTCTGGGGAAAAAAATAAGAAGAGGCTCAGATGCACTGTTGTCGTCTGCAATCAGACGCGGAGAAGACCCAAGTTTCCACCATTGCGAACATATTCATCATAGCACTCAGATGCACCAGCAGGGAACCGAACCCGGGTCTGTACCGTGGCAGGGTACCATTCTACCACTAGACCACTGGTGCTTGTTGTGTAACTATTTCACAGATACTAAATAATACTTGTCTACTAAAGTATATTCACAAAAAGGAAACGTAAAATTAGTATATTCATGTACACCAATACGTGCCTGCCATGTGACTTATATCCATATTTATCGCTTAAATCGTAGCCAAACGAATATATATCACTTAACTGTAGTTAAGTTCACAAAAAAATTATGCACAATACTAATACAGCCCGTTTGGACATTAAAAAATTTCAAACTTTTTTTTTGAAATTAGCGTTTGGCCATAAAATTCTCAATTTTTACTTTAAAATGAATTTTAGAATTTTTCGAAAATTTGAAGAACTCCAAAAAGTTATTTTTCAAATTTTTCACTTATATCACTCACAAAACTTCAAAACAACCCAAATTATATTCATGTCCAAACACAACTCTAATTTTCAAATATCGTTTTCACTTGAAAATTTTTTCACTTTTTTTTTTAGAATTTTACATTTCTTATGTCCAAACGCCCACTATGTCTTACATTCATTTAAGCAAGACTGATGGTATTTTCCCATGTTTGGTTGGCTTAAATGTTTTGGAAAACATTTTCCTTACGAACTCATTTTCCTCCAAATGTTTATCAAGAGAAGGGAAAACATTTTCCAAAACTCCTTCTCAACATTCCCTACCCTTACCAACCCACGCCACCTCCAAAAAAGTTTTTTTTTTTTTTTTTTTCAAATTTCAGTTTTTCCATTACCACCGCTCTACTACCCCTCCATCCCACCCTCTCCCAA